CATGCTGAGCATGTTCGGCCGACCCGAAGGCACTCGAAGCAAGCCGATGTACGGCTGATTTCAGCCGATGTACGGCTGAAATTAGCCGTACCAGCCTGAAGTGAATAGCCGAACAGTGTTCGGCTCACTTCACTTCAGATCGGTCATTCACTCGGCTGCCCTCGGTAGCTTCGTGAATAGACCCCAAAGTCTTTAGATTAGCTGCATTTAAAAACTCACATTAAAGGATTCATTTTTTTTTTTTCTAACAGCCACATTAAAAGCGGTTTATTTTTTCCTGGACTGCAGCTTTAATCTCCTTGCTCTCAACACAATTATATGCAACCTATAAATCAATTAATGTAGCAGTAGCTCAGCAACCAAACCTCATTTCAGATAGCTGTTCTTGAGTAATAGCATTTACTTCATCGTCTCATTCAACTTGTTATCTAAATCTATGTCCCAAAAGGATCATTTCTACTCTGAAAATATTTCAGGTTAAACTTAATTAGCAATAATCAGCCCTAACATTTTATAAAAGGTGTAGTAATTAATACACATGTTTCCCTATCACTAATTACAAATAACTTGTCTTTTATATCTGAAGTAAATTGAATGTGAAGGACAACTGGTAAACTTAATTATAGCTATAACCCAGTACCTTAGTAGTGGAAGAACTTAATTATATTTATGCACAACGGAATGCAGGGCTTAATGATAGCCTTTCATGGCGGTACACTAGCTTATGGCACCCTCCTGTGGCAACTGTGTGCTGTGTCCGATTCTAAAATGTGAAAGCTGACAAAATATAGACCAATACAGCTAATTCCAATTTCATACACCAAGATTTTTAGAGTTAAACAAGCCAAATGCATGCAGTCATTAAGAAAATCCAGCAAAATAAATAATTCAACATGTTGACTTGATGGAAACAGGAATACTGGTTTATTCAATAAAATAGCACAACACGCATGTGCAAAGTTTAATACCAGATTGTGGTTTACTGTACACTGATGAGTTAGGGTATTATTTTGGTCTGTTTGCTACAGGTTACTGCACTCTGCACCACATTAATGAATAAGCCCAGCAGTAAACACCAGGATCCAAATAAGATAATGAAGACTAACCTTTTATATACTTCGCTCCAATTAACATTACCATGCTACTCACTATATAAAAGCCCAGAGGCAGACTAGAGAAGATACTAGGTTCACCTGTAGACATCCAGAAGCAGGGGAGAAAATAAAAAAAATGAATGATTGGTATTATGAATTAATCAAAATCAACAGCAGAAATATGGCAAGCATTAGCAATTGATAGACTGATTGAGCTTTCATTGCATTAGCCATAAGTGCAGTGAAAACATATAAACATAAAAAAAAGTCAACCATGCAACCAAAGAAACGTTCCCAGGATGTCAGAAACAAATTACAATAGAAGCTGTAGAAAGTTCTCAAGGTGGGTCTAGAGGCCAAAATCGCAGTTCACACCAAAAAAAACTGTATGAGAAGCTGTTATGTATCTTACACGGTTATCTTAGCTATTGAAGACTCCATTGATGAGATTTCCGCTGCTGAAGTTCTCAGGTCTGTCACCAAAGCGGTGACTGTCAATGCTACTGCTGCAATCTTCTTGATGTACTATAACAGCTTTCAATATGGACAGCAGAACTCCCTCAAAATGACTACATCATATCAGCACACCTGCCAGGGATCTTGCTGCTAAATTTGAGAAGCTGCAGTGTTGACTAAGGCCTCATTTACACAGGGCGTACACTCCCGTAAACTGCCGATCCCGAGACAGGTGCTGCATGCGATTGCGTGCAGCAGCCTGTTCTTCCCTATAGGAGGACGCGGCCGTACCCTGCCATACGCACACCCGAACTGCACATCTGTGCGGGTCCGGGTGTCCCAACTTGGACGCAGACAGGATGGATCGGCCATTTACAGGTGTGCAGGTCGCACGGACGCGTACGCCCCGTGTGAATGAGGCCATAAAGTTACAATAAACTCAGGAGTTGAATCTCATTGGTGCAGACACTGTCCTTCCTTCTGGAGGGGGGCTACTTTTTTTCCCCAGGGTCTCTGTGTGTGTAGTAAAGTAGCCACCACTCGCATCTCACACAATCTCATGTTTAGTTTACTAATTTGTATTGAGACTGTACCCCATCACGGGAGTGAGCTTGGAGCGGTGACTACTTTACAACACACAGAGGGGATCATGGGGAACAAAAGTAGCCACCCTCCAGAATGAAGGACAGTGTCAGCAACAATTCAGGGGTGATTTGGGGATCTACAGCTAAGTGATGCACACATAAGATACATTTTTGTTAATAGTTAGAGTACCTGAATGCATTTTTAAGATTTAACTCTTGCCGGTTACTGATGAGGTCTCATTTGCATATTAGCGGAGACTGGGCATAAAAAATTTAAAGGATATAGTGAAATTTTTCCCACACTGACAAATGAATCCCTATCTCTTCACGATGCAAACATGCATACTGCCTTGGACGCAGGATTTAACAAAATTAGGCCTAGGCTCATCTGTGGTGTAACCTACAATCGGGACTAAATAAATGTGTATACATCATGTGTCCATGTGTAAAGAAACATCTATCAGTAGGGTTTTGGTGTGGTCAGTTTGTGGTAAATACACCATATGCAGCACCACCTAATGTATAACCACCCATAAGACAAACTGTACTTCAAAGCTTGATAAAAATTGACATATTTACAACTAGATAGGAAACTAGTAATTTTCTCGCTGCTCAGTGTGTATTAGTGTGTGAAACTAAGATGATTTATGTCTGTGAATTAGGAATCTGCCTATTTAGGATGTGTGCAGTATGACAGTCAATATTAACAGACAAATTAATTGTAAATTACCACAGTAATAAGCAGAAGAGTGCAGATAATAAATGGTAGAAACGGTAAATTAGATGTGCACACACCAGAGAGTTCCAACTGATTTTCAAATGAGTTTCTTAAGAGAAGGAGAAGTGAATGGCTGACTTGTGGGATCAAGCCTATGTGCATCAGTCAAAAAAGGCTGCTCAATGAATCTGAGCTATCTTTCCTTTTTTTTTTCCCTGTGCAAAATTTACAGCACTGTGCTGCTACACCATCTACAGCTGTATTAGTGTATAAGTCAAGAGGTAAGAGCGCTTCAAACTAGTTTTTAGGTTTGTATAGGACATCCTTTTTTCTTTTTTGTTAAACTTCCTGTTAAAAGTAAAAGGCCAGTCAATATAGAGCTGTAATTTAGGTTTACTGGTCTTTTACATATAAAGATATTACACAGAAGGGATAGTAAAAGTAGGCCTTTTTTTAATTTAGCAATGCACCTGTGGGTACCAGTAAAGCAATGCATTAAATAGGACTATATCAGGAATAATTTGCAATGACAAAACACACAATAAGGCTACGTAAAAGATACAAATCCTTTCTGTAAGTAGATTAAAGGAAAAATGAGTGCTAAACAGAGTGCCCATCATTCACCACTATATTAAAATCTAAGTATTGATAATTGCAAAGAGACAATGGCAAGTTCTGACAGATGGAACACTAGAAGCAAGGGCAGCTGAATTTTGGATCAGAGTAATTGGACTGAGAGTGAAAAGGCAGCCCTTTACCATATTGGTTAGTCCTTATGTATGGGGCCAAAGTTTCCAGCAGCTAGTACAGGAAATGGTAACTCAGTACTACTGCTGGAACTAGGCACAGACTACAGTGATCTTTTTTTTTTCTTTTATTAAGGCATCCAGCGCATACACTCAAACAGAAATTCCAGGTAGGACTGCTAGTTATAGCCTAGCCTAGACCTTTGTCTTTCTGTTGCTCTCATCATATAAACTAGGGATGCACCGATAAAGTTTTTTTGGTATCGAGTACCAATGTTTTTTTTTTCTTCACTCGCCGATAGCGAAACCGCAAGTCCCACTAAGGAAGCCAGGCGGCGTGTAATGACTGTAATTAATGTAATTACACGCCCCCAGGCTTCCTGATTGGCCAGGAAGCCGGCTCCATGCTCCCTCGTCCCCAGATGACGAGGAAGCATTGAGCTGGCTTTCTGGTCAATCAGCAAGCAATGACTCCCCGGCCGGTTTCCTGATTGGCCAGCTTCTCGACCATTCAGGATGCCTGGCAGCGAGTTATTGCCAGCCCCGCCGTCTTCCTGATTGGCCGGGAAGCCAGCTCCATGCTCCCTGGTGACTAGGGAGCATGGAGCTGGCTCCGCAGGCCAATCAGGAAGCTGGGTGGCGTGCAATGACTCGAAGCCCAGCTTCCTGATACCGGAAGTTCCAATATCGGGATAAGTCTCAGGAGCATTTGGGAGAGTACAAGTAGCAGTATCGCTATCGTCTAAATCACAAAGATATTTATCACCTACAAATTGGAAAAATCAACAGCTCCCCATGAATCTGGAATTGCAAGATCTGGACATGTATTGCTCACCTATTCATGCTGTGACACAGGGAATCTCAGCATATAGCACTTGTTTAGGCTTCCAAGCAGTCTATCCACCTCCTGTTACTGATAACTGCCGGTACTATTAAAAGAGGGATTGTAGCAAGGTATAAAAGAGTAATACTTCCACTCTATTAATCATTGGTTCGGCCTCACCTGGAGTATGCGGTGCAGTTTTGGTCGTCAACTCTCAGGAAAGATGTCCTCAAGCTGGAGAGAGTTCAGCGAAGGGACACAAAACGAATTAAAGGGATAGAAGGCCTGAATGATGAAAACCGCCTTCAAAATTTAAACTTATTCGCCTTAGAAAAGAGGCGATTAACAGGGGACCTTATTGCAGTCTTCAAAATAATCAATGGGGACCACAAGATTCGGAACAAACTGGTTAATCTGAAAATTGTATAGAGAGAGACCTGGGGACACAACAGGAGGTTGGAGGAAAGAGGGTTCAACCTTAGAATTTGCAGGGTTTTTTTTTACTGTGAGAGTTGTGAAATTGTGGAATTACCTCCCACAGGCAGTGGTATTTGCTGAAAGCGTTGATAAAGTCAGGAAACTCCTTGATGAGTTTCAGCTTTCACTTATTATACAGGGATATGGGAAGTGTTAGAGCTATATATATATATATATTTTTATAGACACACATAGGTTGCACTGGATGGACCCTTGTCTTTATTCAACCTTACCTACTATGTTACTATGATCATGTGATAACATCAGTTCTGGTGCATTGAGCCGCTCTTTTGTTTGCTAATGAACACTGTTGTGTGGTGCAGAATGTACCACTTGTTTCTATGTCTGTCATTACCAGTAACAACAGGTGGATAGTCTACTTGTAAGCCTACAAACTTAAAGCTTGCAAGCACTATATGCCAAGATCGCTGCACAGCTTCCCAGCATGAATAGAAGGTTAGTGGTAGTAATTAATTTAAAAAACATAATATCTTAATCTTTGCTCTCAGAAGTGCCCTCCCTTATTTTGATTATTTACCCTTATTTTCCATAAAAAGGTATGGTTCAAATGAGGACAGTGACTTGAAACCTGGGTGGAGGATAAAAATATCAAACTGTCACTTACTCTGTAGTTATAGCATTTCTAGTTGCATTATTGTCTTGTCAGATTTTCTGCAGAGCACCCCAAAAACTCGCCAAGTCTTGTTATTGCCCCATCACTGTGATGTGAGGTACAGGAAACAGGTAGAGCTGTTGATCAGGATCTGGGGTCCTTGGGGCACTTTCCATTAGATCTAAGCAGACATGAATGCCCCTTTGGGTACCCTCACTGCACAATATGCGCTGGTGTTATGGTTTTATTGTCAGCACAGGTTTGCTTCAACTATTTTGAAATTACGCTAATTGTGAGGAAACAAACTGTCATACCTTCAAGTGAGGGTCCGAATCACAGAAATTATATATATATATATAT